CAAAGCTACACAACGGGCTATCTGCGCTCTGCCCACTACGGGCAGACATACCGCTGTGCCACTGGGGGGCTACATTTAAGCAGCAGTAGATGTTTTTCTTCAGCACTTGTGGAAGCAAGTACTTTTTTACTGCACATCAAACCTAAATATTAAGGCTAATTGCGTACGCGTAAATAATTCTGGCATTCATAACACCACAATGAACTCTAATTTTATCTACACGAATGAGCTTAATGTTTTCCTGAATAGCGGAAGATCGCTTTAGTTTGCCTCGCTGAGTATATTCTTTTGTGATGTATTCGGTATTGAAAGAGATTAATTGAGCATTTTTGACTCTTCATCTGTAAAAAATTGAGATCTTGTGGGACAAAAAGAGAGTTTTGAATGAAAGTATTATAGATTTTTATAAAATATCCATATTTTCACGACAACCATATATTTGAAAATTAAGATAGATGGGATGAACGTCAGTCCCTAACAGAATTTTTCATGCATCCGCCCATCAAACTTGCTGGGTATCATTGACTGAAGGGTGTTCTAGGCATACTTTTTTATTTGGGCGTCAACTGCCTGTACTATTCATTATAATAGCTTGTTAAAGTAAATGTTTCTTTTGTGTTCAGATAGTGTATAAGTAGATTACATTCACTAATGATCCTCGGCTACCTGTATTTTGTACATATTTGTAATTCGAATACAACTTACCATAAAACATCCTATTAATCAGTCTTTCTCGTAGTCCATCTACCATCGTTACTATGAAGCGATGAGGTTTCTTTAATTTTTATTAAATTTCACTGTGAATTTTGTCTGTCAGATGATCTTTTACTATACGAACCGTTTGTTCTTCCAGATTTTGTTTGGACTCCATCTATCTTAACAGTTTTCGCTATAATATTACTTCCAGCATCTACAGTATTTTCATAGATATCCTGGATGATTACTTAAAGAAAATATTTATCACTATAAGAACTTTCTATTTTCTCAGGGAGCTTTTAGCTCAATTCCACTCTAGTT